TCAGCGTCGCCGGCTTCATTTGAGGAGGCGGCTCCTTCGTCGTCCACCTCTCTTATTCCCGAGCTCCCGGAGGTAGAGGGAGCCTCCTCTTCAGATCCGCTCTCCTCCAAATTCCTCGGATCCCCTTCCGGGAAAACCTCATCGATAGGCACTCTCATGGTGCGCCGGCTCTTAGACCGCCTGGCCGTTTTTTTCGTTCTGGCCATTGTGTCCTGCACAGACACAGAGAGGGAGGAATTCGGAGATGAGCATATTGGTTCCGACAGTCCAGAAGAGGCACCCCCTGTTCTAGACTCAGCCGTTCCTAGGGATCGGCTGAGTGTCCTAGGCAGTGCCGAGTGGGTGGATTGGGAACTCATTTATGTTCTATTAAGAAAGCCGGGTATACAGGCGAAAAACGGTATGCAAATTGAAAGGGAGAAAAGCTAAAATGGTACAGGCAGTTACCTTGCTTTAACTCTGGAAAATCTGAAAACCGCTACAGCCGGTGAGCCGGGTGATGAACTTCTAGCAGTCGGAAGCTTGAAACTTGCTGTTATGCAGGCGGGAGCAGAGAAAATTCTCTCTCTAGAAATCTCTCTTTTTCTCTCTCTAAAAAGTCAATATGAACGTTAAGAGTGAAAAGGAGGGGGGGTAACTTTCTATTTATAGAAAGTAAAAGTGGGGGGAAATTTTGATTTGAAATTCAAAATTTTACCCGTTACTGTTCACCTATGAAAGGTGGACACGTGTCACAGGCCCCACGTGACATGCATGTGCGACCTGTGAGGGGCAAATGTTTAGGGTATTTTTACCCTAGACACGTGGACCAATGAGAGGTCGCCACGTGTCGAGCTTAGGATGGCCCTTGTGGCTTAACATCCTCTTGACACTTGGCGCCCTCAGATATGTTTCTAAAATGGCGGCCTTCAAAGGCCCAGATTCCTAAGCGCGCCGTAAAACGGCGCAGCCCACTAAAATCTAGGTCAAGTGACCTAGGTAGGGGCACATTTTCCAACGACCCTATAAATAGGGGGATATTTCCCCACTTTGGGGGACACATTGAATCATTAATTACACCCTTATTCTCTCACATCAAAGAAATACCTGAGCTTGGAATCCGAGCAGATACCCACCTAAATTTCCGTTCTCTCTATTCCGTTTCAAGTTACTGACTTGTGCGTCGGAGGCGGAGCACCACCCAACCGGTGTCTCCGTTTGTTTTGCAGGTACAGCTCACTGCGGATCAGTCTTCGTGTTGTAACTCTCCCAAGGGACAAAAACCCCTAAAACACTTTTTAGCAGTTAAAACTTCCCAAGCATAATCTTCAATAGCTATATTTTTATTCCATGTGTATGCAAATAGATTCGGTTTTTAGATGGAATAATTAGGCCCCCTTCACTTCACCTTATTTTGCTAAACTGAAATTATTTTTAATGAACTGAAACTATTTTTGCTGAACTTAAATTATTTTTACTGAATTGGAATTATTTTTACTGAACTGAAATTATTTTTACAGATTCTCTATTATATTTCTTCTTTAGAGTTACTGCTTTTTACTGAACTGAAATTAATGTTACTGAATTGAACTTATTTTTACTGAACTCAACTTATTTTTACTAAAATGAAATTATTTTTATTGAATATCATTTTCTTAAGGTGAACTGAACATGGCCTTACAATAGGGAAGAGGCCATGGGTTGGGATAAAGGGTAGTAGGAACAAGTGTTCTAAATTTGTATGTGGAAATTAAAAGGAAAATTTGCAAATTGCAGCCATTTAAAGTTGGAAAAATTGCTCCCATTAATCTGAACTTTGCCTCGTCCGCCGAAAATAATCCCAACTTTCGTTTATTATCTATTGCACCCAACTTTAGGGGGTATTAATTTTCGTTGCACCCAACAGGTCATCTAACCTGATGTAGCAGGTCACCTAGCCACGTGTCAACGTATGATTGGCTTAATTTTTTTTTTTAAAAGAAAAAACAAAAAATAAAATAAAAACCCCACAAACCACCCATACCCAGTAGCCGGCCACCACACCCCCACCCCCACCCTGCCGGGAAATCACCCCCACCCCCGAAAAACCCCTCTCTAGGTGCCGGAAACCACCACCCATCCCCGGAAACCCCTACCCGTCCCTCGAAACCCACCCCTTCCCTTCCCCCACCCTCGAAAACCCCCTCCCCCACCCCCGAAATCCCCTCCCCACCCACGAAAACCCCCTCCCCTGCTGGTTAGGGATGTTGGGATGACGTTGTTGGTGATTATCGGCGGTTTATCGGTAGCTGGGTGGGATTTTCGGCGGCTGTGTGGGGTTTCGATGGGTTTACGGCGGCTAGGTGCGATTTTCAGGGTGGTGGTTATGGTGGTTTCTGGGGTGGGATTGTGCGATTTTCAGGGTAGGTTTTGTTGGCGGGGTGGTTTTCAATAGTTAGGGGTTCCGGCCGGCCGTTTCCATGGGTTTATGGCGGCGGCCGACCGGTGTTTGGTGGGGCTACGGGAACGGTTAGGGTTTGGCGGTGGTTGGGTTGTTGGTGGTGGTCGTTTTTTTACTTTTTTTTTGTTTTAAACTTTTTTTTAATTATGTTTTTAATTTTTTTTGTTTTTTTTTATAATTATGTTTATAATTTTTTTTTTCTATTTTTTTCAACCAATTACATGTTGACACGTGTGCCAAAAAAAATAGAAATGTTTACCTGATTTACCGGTTGCAGGTCATTTGGGTGCAACAAAAATTAATACCCCCTAAAGTTAGGTGCAATAGATAATAAACGAAAGTTGGGATTATTTTCGGCGGATGAGGCAAAGATCAGATTAATGGGAGCAATTTTTCCTTTAAAGTTTGTATTTTGCAAATTGCAGCCATTTAATTTTTTTTTTTTGCAAATTGCAGCCCAAAAGTTCATATAGATTGTAAAATGCAGTCCGATTCAATTTTTTCATCGGTTTACATGTTGAAAAATCTTCGTTTAAGGTTTTAGGGGTCATTTTAGGCCTTAGGGAACCGAATTGAGCTCGGAATTAGCAAAAAAAATAACGTAAATGTCTCATATTTACAGTTTCCCACAAATCGATACACTTTTATTATGCAAAACGAGATACTTGCGTTATTTTTTTGCTAATTCTGAGCTCAATTCGGTCCCCTAAGAACTACAATGTCCCCTAAAACATTAATCGAAGATTTTTCAACTTGTAAACCGATGAAAAAGTTGAATCGAGCTGCAATTTACAATTTATATGAACTTTTGGGCTGCAATTTGCAAAAAAAATTTTAAATGGCTGCAATTTGCAAAATACGAAGTTTAAATGGCTGCAATTTGCAAATTTTCCAAATTATAATGTAACGAAGAAATAATTGAACTAGTAAAAGTAAAAGATAGATTTTAGGTAGAAACTTAAATTGTTAGACCTAGAAAGCACGGGTACGGCACTTTATGGTCGTTTCCCCTACCGAGGACGACAAAAATATGTCCTGAGACGTTTCCAAAAAATTGGGTACGACAATCAAAATTGGGTTTGGCCCGCGCAAATTCAGGAGATGTCTTGGGTACATACGGTTCACCTCTTTTATTAGGATGTCCCAAGAACAATTTCAAGACTCCAATCCCCGTTCAAAACAAAAAAGAAGGGCCTAAGACCGCGTTCTTTTCATCTTATTTTTGTTGAACATAAATTGTTTTTACCGAAACAAAATTTTATTTGCTGAACTTAAATAATTTTACTGAACTAAAATTATTTTTGATGAACTGAAATTATTTTTACTGATTTTCAATTATGATTCTTTTTTAAGAAAACTGAATTTTACTGAACTGAACTTATTTATATTGAACTGAAATTATTTTTACCGAACTGAACTTATTTTTACTGAACTGAAATTATTTTTACTTATTAATTAATTTTCAATTGTTAAAATTTATACTTATTGATAATTAAAGATATTATTGATCAAAGATTAACATTGGCATTCTAAAGCTTGGTTCGTCCAGGCGGATGCACGATCCGCATGGAGCATCTGCTCCAAAATACAGGCGGAATGTACATGCAGGTGTATACTAATGTACATTGGCATATAAAGAACATAGTTTTGAACATAGTTTTTATTTATAATGTTCATGGACATATACATAAAAGAACATAGTGTTTCATTGATAATGTACATCAAATTTTTATTGTACAACAATTTTGTATATATTTTTTTTGAAAGAAATTTTGTATAATGAAATAGATAAATAGTACTATATATAGTATATAGTTTTATTTATTTATTTATTTATTTTTTTTAACTATACATTAATTACAAATCATTTAATTTTTTTTTCACCAAAATTTCACTTTCTCTCTTCAAACCCATTTAAATTCCTCAAACCTCAAGCAAAGTTTCAAGAAATTCGAAATTTTGAATCCAAAATTGTTCAAGATGACATATAAAAATGAAAGGTAAGATCAAATTCGACATTCATACTTGTTTATTTGACATTCATACTTGTTTGAGTGTTTGTTCTTTATAAATTTGATTGAAAATTGAAATATTTGATTTGATTGGGAATTAATTGCGATTTTGATGTAATTTTGTTGTTGCAAAAAGAAATAAAATGAAGTTCTTGAAGAAGATTGACCAATTAATACATTTTGGAAGAAGAAAGCAAGCAAATAGACAAATTTAGAAAAAGTTGTAGATCCAAATAATGCAATGTACATTAAAATACAGTAAAATGTTCTTTTTTCATATACTTGCATGATCCAAATAATACAATGTACATTAAATATGTAACCAACATTGTAACATATATGTTCATTAAGATATAATGCGGTGTACATTATAATACAACAAAATGTACTTTTCATATACACACATGATCATTTATACCAAATGTACATTTACTATATGAATAATATAATGTTATTTAATATTATCATTTTCTTTACTAATATTACAAATGTTCTTTAGATTTACAAAAAAACATATAAAATTGGATGTTCTTTATAAAATAGCTATATATTCTTTACAAAACAACTATATGTTTTTTACTGAACAACTAAATATTCATTTCACCTTTTTTTAAAGAAAACCGGATGCATCCGCCTTCACAGAAATAATTTTATCGGCATTCGTGTCCAAGAGAAATGGAGCAAGTATTTAAAAACGGAGGGAATATTAATTAGGGCATGCAATTTAGTTGACCAGGCCAAAACACCGGGTCAGATCTTCAGTCTCCGGCAATTGATAGTCTCTTTCTTTTTCTTTTTCTTCTTGATTTCTTGTTTTTTTTTTATTACATAATCACTTATTGGTACAAAAACGCTATGGGAATACAATGGACAAAATTTAATTATGCACTATTTTATTACAAGATTTCATTTTTATTTTGGGAACTTAAAATAATCATTCATGAAAGGAGTTTTGTTAAGCTGTGCCGAATATTCGCTTCATCTGCATAACTTCCTTACGACTCAAGAGTGTGATTTTTTGGGCAATGTTAGCGGGTAAATTCCCAGCAAATAAAGCGGTAGGAGTGAGTTGTAATGCAGGGTTTGCACCATTCAGACTGACATAGGCAGTAGCCGGAGTTTTACCAACATTGATTTGGAAGTGAAGCATGGCTTGTGGAAATACCATGACATCACCAACCTCTAATCTTTTATAGTATGCGGTGTTATTTGTATCAATAAATCCTGCAATGATTGAACCTTTAACCAAAATAAGAACTTCTGATGTACGATGAGAGTGTACTGGAACTACTCCTCCTATGGCAAAGTCTAACCTAGCCATAGATATGCCTAAACCATTGAAGGCTGGGAACACATCTGAAAATGCTAATGTAACATTGTTCCCAAAAACATTATTTGGAGTTTTTTCACCACGGAAACCCGTATAAACAAAATCATCAGTTGTAACTTTAGCAGGATCTTTGCAAGCGTATCCTTGAGGCCCTCTAGGAAGAGTAGGATCCCCGACACAAAAGTCGAGCTCTATGGCATGGGACAAAGTAGCCAAGAAACAAAAAATAAAGAAAAATGAAAGATTTCTCATTATGCAAGTTTGTTATAGCTAGAAATTAAATGAAAGGTGGTGTTGGGTCGTTAAAAATAGTATAAGTGTTGAAGGATAGGTAGGTTGTATATTTCGGATGGGTTTCTTGCATTTTCTTAGCAGCAATTGGCACCCTTTATATAGAGGAACAATTTTTGGTATGTATGACTTTGTGGCTTGACTTGTTCAATTGTTCAGAAAGGGTATGATATTGTTTATTTTGTGTATATATAAGTCAAAGGAGTAATTTGTGATTTGAGTCAATGAATCCATTATTGTTTTTAAATGAATCCAATAATTTGATCACCATTTTGTTTTATTGACTTGAATATTATCTTAAAATAAACTTTTTCAAAATAAATATCTTTAATGACATGGGTTTTTTCTCCTGATTCTCGGTTTTCAACGATAAATTCTTGGGGTCTTCGTTGTATATTTGTGGTTGATCACAAACTATATTTGTGGTTGCTGGGATTGTTGACGTGCAATTGGCTGAAGCTTTGGCTGTCAGACTTGGCCATTTGGTGGCCCGCAAGCTTAATGTGAGCAGAATTGATGTGGAGAGTGATGCATTGTCTGTGGTGAAGGCTATAAATTCGAACCTGGTAGGTTTGGGGACTACTGATTTGGTGTTTGATGATATTATTCATAATCTTAGTAAGTTGTTTGATTTCTTTTCTTGTAACCATGTGAAAAGGGGTGCCAATTGTGTTGCACATTTGTCTGCTAGATTAGATGTCACAGTGGGTTCTGAAATCTTGTATGTTGATTCCATTCCGCAAGGTATTTCTACCATGGCGGATCTCGATCTTACTTAATGCTAATTCGTGCTCGCTGAGCGCTTTCTTTCAAAAAAAAAATGTCAATCCTTTCCCATTGTTAAAAGTTTTTTTTCTTTTTTTTTTAAATTTTTTTTTAATAGTAAAAAAAAACTATATACTACCTCTGATTTTTTTAGTTGCAACTTTGGGATAATATTTAAGAGATATAAAATATTTCAAAGTTGCAATTAAAAAAAATCAAAGGTAGTATATAATTATAATAGAACGTGTACATTGGCCTGGAGCACAATCATTCATTTTACTTTAATTGGGATAGACATCAAGTCATCAATATCACCACATGCCAATTGTATGAAAAAAGAAAAACATTAGGAAACAAGCTTAGAGAACTAATACCTAACTAGTAACCACGCACTTATAAACTAGCTTTGTTTTAAGAATAGAGAAATGCTAAAAGGTACTCTCTTCGTCCCTAAATTAAAAGCCTCTTTCTCTTTATTATGTGAGTAATAAATGCTAGAAAAAGGCTTTGTATTAAGGGACGGAGGGAATAACTATTATTAAAAAAAAAAAAAAAAATTGCTTCCTCTTATTTGATTTTTTGGTTTCTCAAGCAAACGTATTCAATACAAATATGAGGTATGTAGCTCCAGCCATATTAGAGTGGTTGATGTGGTCTGTTAAATGACAATTGCTTGCAATATGTCCTTGTAGTTCGTTTTACTACAAAACGATTACCAAAAAAAAAAAAAAAACTCTGCAAATACTTCCCTAGCATTATCTTCAACAGCTATATTGTTCCATGTGTATCTAAAGTGCAATGCAATATATAGGTTTTATTTTTATGGAATACTTGTAAGAGAGTAATAGGAACGGGTGTTCTAAATTTTTATCCAGAAATTAAACGTTATTAGAGGAACTAGTAAAAGTAAAAGACAATCAATTAATGTGTATCTAAAGTGCAATGCAATATATAGGTTTTATTTTTATGGAATACTTGTAAGAGAGTAATAGGAACGGGTGTTCTAAATTTTTATCCAGAAATTAAACGTTATTAGAGGAACTAGTAAAAGTAAAAGACAATCAATTAATTTACGTGGTTAAATTTCAATACATATACGATTCTCCTTCTCTCTCTTCTGCTTCCCCTTAAATTTCTTTAGTTTGCAATTTTGATTTCAGTAAATCTACTTGAGTAGTGTTGATGTTCGTCCGTCTTCTTATACTGGAGAATCTACCTATAGTGGAGTTGTTAGTCTTTGTTTGTTGAGTTGTTTGTTTTTGTTTATGATTTTTGAGTGTGTTAGGGTTTATTAAAAAGGATATCAACGTTTTTCCCATTATTAGTTTGTTGGTAAAGAGTTGTTCGTGATCGTAACTCTGGTCAAATCTTTAAATGCGTTCAAGTGAATCAAATGAAAATCATTATTACAATACAACAAATCGTTAGATTTTATCATCGTAAAGGATGTATATTCCAGCGATCGATGTATGCAAGAGATGTACCACAATGCAAGATCTATTCAACGATCGTAGCTATAATGAAGTAAACCCTAATTTAATTCAATTTTATGTATTTGATGATTTAGATTTTATTTGTAGATGTCATATGGCTTTTGATTAATCCATTGATTTGTTTCAAAAAAAAAAAAGTTAAGTAAAAGATAGATTTTAATGTGGAAACTTCAATTCTTGCACGCTGAAGAAGAAAAACCTTGATCCATTTTAGGATCTAAACTCAAACTTCACAATAATAAGGTAACACTTTTGTTGCAACTTTTTCTAACTCAATTAAATCCCGCCCCTAATGTGATTTACTAATCACAATGCTTGTTCCCACTTAATTCTATTCAGTTCAGTTTAGCTCTAATCAGTTCATTTCACTTTAGTTCTGCTCACTTCAGTAAATGTGAACGCGCCCTTACACAATTAGTTTTATTATAAAACAAATAATAATAATAAAAAAAACTCAATTAATGAAAGATTTACTTTAAATGCCAAATATACATAATTTGGCAATTATGTTAACGTGACATATGAATAATAGTTTAGCAAGATTCAAGAAGCCAAAATTTGCTTGTGTGATCTAAAATACTACCTTCGCTTCGCATTACTCGCAACAAAGGGATATTATTTGTGAGATATAAAATATTTGTTTGTTGCGAGTAATGCGAAGCAGAGGTAGTATAGAAGACTTGTACACTACAAGAAAAATCTCTTTTTGTAGCGATTATTTCGTAGCGATTGTACATTCGCTACAATATGGAAGTATGTTTGTGAAATAATGAAGGATGTCATATCATTTTTACAATCGCCATGGTTTTCCCATATAAAATCGATACGAAAAACATAATATTACATATCCACACTATTTTTACACATTTATATAATTTTTAGAAATCGTATCATTTACAATCGCCACTAAATCATAAAAATCGATACGAAAAACCTTTTCAACACTAGATATATAAATATTGTTTGACAAAAAATACATAAAATATGTCATACCTTATTGGTGAAACATTTAATATAAGAGTTTGAGGTTGCATGTTCGAATCTTATAAAGATCATACGCATGTTTTTTTTTTTTTTTTTTTTTTTTAAGAAGAAAATGAGTTAAACATTTATAGCGATTGTAATCGCTACAATAATAACCACGATTGGATACAATAATAACCACGATTGGATGTAGTTTTTCGTATCGAATATTGAGGCCAACCCCAGCGATATTGAAAACCACTACTAAAGGGTAAGGCAACGGGGGATATTGTATCGAATGACCATTCGTTGGGAAAGATTTTTGTTGCAATTACAATCGATACTAAAGGTTAAAATAATCGCTACGAAAAGGTTATTTTCTTGTAGTGGTAGAATGTAGAATGACTAAATAATAGGCAAACAAGTAATTTAAATATGGACCTTGTTTATTTAAATGCCAAATTTTACTAAAAATTTTACTAGTCCTTAATCCTTTCCTTTCTATAAATATGAGCAACATCCTTACTGTTGCTTATGAACAGTACTCGCTTCACTGTAGCTTATGAACAGAGCCTTTCCAAATCTGCCCTTGTAAGAGGTTGGTTGCTACTATGTTCTGCCTTCCACTCACTGTTGTAATTACTTTTCTTTTGTGGCCTGTTTAACAAGCCCATATGACAAGTCGATTGAGGTATTACTTTTGTTATTAAGGATATATATATGGACTTAGATTTGCCAAGTATATGGACTTAGATTTGCCAAGTTTGGGTTATGGATTGTTTCACAAGAAAAGTGAGGGATATATTATTATAATCGGATTTAACATCATTATTATAGTCAAAATTAAATTAAATTAAATCAAAATTATGATTCTTAAATATATAAATCACCACTCAATTTCTTAAACTTTGTCAAGCTTGACTTCATTTTGTATAAATTATTACTAAATCAAGTCAAATAATATAAGAACAATATATTTAATTACTATCATGATCAACTGGCTATAAATGTGCGTCATACGTCAAACTTATTCCTAATTAGTAATTACAAAATCATACGAAGATCATATTGCATAAATAAACAAGTAATTATGGCTACATTAATCATTTCTTCACTATTCAATTCCGTCACTTACTTAAAATATGCCTGATAGCAAATTAAATGAGCTATAAATTAAAGTATGCTACAATATTATATAGGCTGCCAAGGATAAGGTATGGGTGATTTGATAGAGATGGTATAGATTGTACTTTTACATAATTTCCCCCTTAAACTCATCTTATATCTGGGTGCCTTTTATTTATCTTACCAGAATACTAGATTGCCCTTTGTCCTTTGTTGACAATCTTATGAGAAAACTGAATCATGAGAAGAGGTTACATTTTGTTAATTCTTCTAAATCATTTTTTTTTGACAAGTCAACAAGTTGTAAATTCCCCTTATATGCTTGACCATTGGCTGCGTGAGATACCATTATTTTAATTATTTCATCAAGGAATGCAATGTAAGTATGTTACTAATATGTTAAGAAAGACAGCCGCAATTACAATTCCTTCGAATGGATGAGATGGAGAAGAAGGAACAATAAGGTGGGAGAAAGTAAGGGATGGATAGAAAAGGCAAGTGAGATAGGGAGAAGGAGCAATATAAAAGAGAGTGTATACAACAATGATGAAGGAAAAGAGATTAATAAACTTGACAAGTGATAAAAGGATGAGGGGGGAGTTATCATAAATTTACTTCATAATATTAGCAAAACCATAAAAACAGAGTCATAGCGATTATTAGAGTGTAGTTTCTTTTATGAGAATTCAACGTCACTAGCAAGTGGCAATCACGAGAAAATATTGTAACACATACATATGTTGTGAATAAAAATTAGTCTTAAACTTGTCTAACTATAATCAAGGTACTTAAATTCAGTCCAGAAAATACAT